CCCATATTGAGGTGGCTCGCAGGCTGGAGGCTCACTTGTCTCTGCTGCGGCAGCCTTTCTTTGTCTACGGGCGACCGATTGGGCATGGGCGACCAAGTTTCGCCAGACGGCAAGTGGCAGTTCCCACTGGCAGGCCCATCCCCCCCTCCACTCCGACCCTCTTCCCTGAGAGAGCCACTGAGCAGCTGGCGTGGGTCGTAGTGTACCAGTACTTCTTCCTGGGTTCCCTGCACCCACATTTCTACCATGCCCTCCCCTGGCTGCAGTTCCCATTGTCTCTTGTTCCCTCGTGTCCCTCAATCCCTCCGGCTCCACCTGGCCGCACTCACAGAACCGTCCCTCTTTTATTTGAACCGACTGTTGCCCATTCCCGGCGCCGACGCACACACTCCCACCGCATTGCTGCTACTTTCCCTCGACTAACCCGTCCACGTTAGATGGCCGCGGTCTCACAGTCAACTCAGCCGACTCGAAAACCACCATTCTCTAACTCGCTGTCCTCCCTCCACGAGGCTGCCGTCGTCAAACAACCCTCCTCTACCTCGCTGTCGTCGACTGCTCCAGGATCGCCAGCTCCAGGTCCGGCCCACACCAGCACGATTGCCTCCTCGATCCCTCCAAACGGCCATCGACACCTCCCTTCTACCAGCTCGCAGAGATCGGGCGGTTTCCTCGCACTCGCTGCAGCGGCCCTCGACAAGACCCTCGCGGGCATTTCGGAGCCAAGGATCAGGCCACGCCAGTCCTTCAGTCGGCTCTCAACCGGCCCTGATTTTCTGCTCTCTGCTGGTTCGCCGCAGTTGAGTCCGGACAAGCCTTCCCGGACCCGGCCTGCATCTAACTACGCGGCCCCATCGCCAACGCTGCCAGGCGACACTCGGCATTCGAGCTCGCCCTCGCCGCGCGACGACCCTTTTGCGAGGCCATATACCGAAACCAACCCTAACTATCCTCAGCCGGTTCGCCTGTCGCGACTCGACAACAAGATGCATCAAACATCGTCTAGGCTATTACGTATGACGGACGATGACCGTCCGTTCACAAAGGTTAGTGCCCGTCGAACGCCGATATTTCCTCCCCCCTTACGAGCGTAGGCGCCCGGCAGACCTGCGATGCCGGCCACAGTACCGTCAAGACTTTATCCTCTAACTGGACTGGCAGGATTTCAAGGATCTCTTTGCTACACTAATCGTCAGCTTGCTTCCGCTCTCTGCCCATCGCGTTCGTCTAACCAAGGTGGAACACACCTTCTTGTCTGAAGATGCCATCAACAATCTTGGCTCGCTCAAGTTCTCGCAGTCCAACCGGATGCCGGACCCTAAGGACCCCTCCCGGATAGTGACTACGACTACCACTACGACCTTCTCCATGGCCAAAGACATGGCCCGGTCCATATGTCAAAGATTCCTCGAGGCGCGATTCATCGAGTCCGCCGACGGAAGGTACCAGACGCAGTACACGATGAAGGGTTCGGTCTGGCAATTGACGCCCAAGGGAATCTCCATTCTGGACCGTTTCTGCTCGAGAAATGGTATTCAGCAAAAGCAGGTGGCCGAGCTCATCGGTGGCTCGTTGCCGCAGCTGGTTAGCCTGGAGCGAGACGGGCAATCAGACAAGCTCCTGACCGACCGAGGCACGATTGAGGTTATTTTCCGGAGATTCGTCGGTGCAAACGGACCCAATGTGAAGTCGAGCGTGAGCTCGGCGGACTCGGACTCGCTGAGCGACTACCGGGACGGCATGACTGGTGTCAAGATGGCCGCGGAGCGCAAGGTTGGCGGCAAGACTTACAAGGACACATTTACCGGAAAGGCCGCGACGGATTGGCTGATGGATTGCTCGACAACTGTGGATCGGAGAGAGACGGTCGAAATCGCATCTCTGTTCGTTGAATATGATCTGATGGAGCCCGTCCAGCAAGACAGGTCCCACATGATCCAGGTGCCCAGCCATAACCTGTTCCAGCCTACCAAGCACGCCATTTACCAGATTACGCCCAAGGGCAGAGATCTGGTCAACGGGGCGCTACCCAGAGGACGGCCATCTGAGAGCGAGGGTCGCAGCGGCACCACATCGCGGACTGTCGGAATCGCCCGGGATTCCAACACGCAGCGTCTGGACAAGATTCTCAACGACCCTGCGTTGCGTCTGCTCTTCAGGGAGAATCTCCGCGAGACGCACTGCGAAGAGAATCTCTCCTTTTATTTGGACGTGGACGAGTTCGTCCGACAGTGCAGGGCGGCGACTCGCGCAGCGCAGAAAAACCCCAGCAACACGTCGTCGCTTGACGGGATTAAAGAGATTATGGCACAGGCGTATGGTATTTACAACGCCTTCTTGGCGCCTGGCTCCCCATGCGAGCTCAATATCGATCATCAGCTCCGAAACAACTTGGCGACCCGCATGACCAAGGCTGTTGGGCAGGACGTCGCCATGATTGACACCCTCCACGAAGTCACTGCTCTGTTTGAAGATGCTCAGAATGCCGTCTTCAAGTTGATGGCTAGCGTAAGTTGAATGATTCTATCCCCGCCGATACAAATGCTAATGCCATTGTAGGACTCGGTCCCCAAGTTTCTGCGCAACCCCAAGTACGAGCAGACGCTGAAGAACTACGATTTTGATGCCATCGGAGCCCCCGCAGGCCGCATGCCTGAGCGGAGCCAGAGCCGGTCGACCCGCAAGTGAACACAAATAGTGGGAGGAGAATAATAAGAGCCGGTCATATACGTCGCGACCTGAATCAAATACCCGATTCTCAAGGCGATGATAGGGGGGGGGGAGATTTTATTTCTGTTGCTGGGGGCGGACTGCCTTGCATTACAGGTCGCTGGATGCCTTCTTTGTCAACACCTGTTGGCAGTTGTGATTTACTAATTTTGTCATCGCCTTGTCATTTTCTACTCATCATTGCGCGTTTCAGAGACATAATGGCGTTCAGAGGGCATCTCTTGCTATAGATGGGGGGAGCCGACCACCGGCGCAAAGCCTTTTTGGGAGCCTGGAATGACGTCGAGCATTCACAAAGTCCATTGGGACAGCTCTCGGTATGGAAGTTGGGGCGGACGGACCGAGAGCAGTGGGTGACCGACCGATGTCTTCTAACAAACCAGACAACCTCGGGGCGTTACCGCGATTCATTTTATAGGAGCATATGGATAGGCTGGTTGGGGCGGGTGGAAGAACAGAGTCTGGAGGAAAACAGGAGACGAAGGGAGGTGCAGTCGAATGTACATACGTGGGAGTGACAGGTCACGCCTTTCACATGCAGGCGGTGAAGTCAAATGGAACAAGAGTCCCAAACAGAATTGTCCTGGCGGAGTGGGATATGTGGTTGAGGAATGCGGCGCCCGAGCAACGACGGGCCGTCCATGGCGGCCCACCGCCGCATCTTGGAATGAATCACTGACTGGCGAAACTTGGCATTCCTCTACGAGGTAGCAGTCGGTATTGTTTTGTCTTGATAATGGTATTCAGGCCTTCATTGGATACATCTGGGCTAACGAAAAGTTTCAGAACTGCATGTCGTCGAGGCATCGTCTCCTCCCTAGGCCGACCTGTCTACTGGGGCAGTCTGGATAAAGATGGCAGAACGGCCATCCGCGTGTGGCCAGGCCCTCCTTGACTAGACAATCGCTCATCACACTCGCTCAGTTTGACAAACAAGTTACTCCCACAATCACGCACTCCAGCATAAGATCTACACACAGTCGCTACCAAAATTTCACACCACAAACCTCTAGGCTGGGAAGAAAACATCGGGCACTCAACATGAACTTCAAATCACTCCTCCTCACCTCCCACCTCACCGCATCCACCACGGTCTCAGCCCAACAACTCAATGCAACAGGCGCACCTCTCCCAGGGACTAATGTAACGGGTCTTTCCACAGAGGGTATCGTTACTGTGGTCACCGTTGTGGGGAGGTTCTTGACGTATTGCGCTGAGCCGACGGTGTTGAAGTGGGGGAAGAACGCGTATAGCGTTACGGCGCCGACTACGTTGACGATTGATGATTGTCCTTGCACGATTGCTACTGTGGGTTTTTCTTTTCGTTGGTAGTACCTGTGTACTGCCCACGGGGTGTTGTTGGGGAGAGGAGGGAAAGGGGTTCGAAAGTGGTTCGAAAAGAGGAGCATCAGAACTGAAAGCTAACAACGATAGACGCGCTGCCTCGGTCCGGATTGCTATTACAAAGAGCCTGGCCCGCACGCGATGACGCCAAAAGACGATACGCCACCTGTGCCGACGGCGAGCCCGGGTTTGGATGCTGTGAATTTGAAGACCAAGATAGCTGCAGGGTCGGCAGCGGCGAATGCATCTGCGAAGAGCGTTGTCTTGTCTGGTTCAGGTTCCAGTCTCGGACGTCGCAATGTGGTTCTGGGTGTGGCTGTTGGGATGATGATTGGTGGTTTGGTTGGTCTTTAATAAGGTGATCTATTTGGCAATGTCGGCTTGGAGTCTGGAGTCTGGTTTGGTTGCGAGGGTTCGCAAAAGAATTTCAGGGTGAGGGCAAAGCTTTCATTTCAGCAGGTTTGGCAAACCACATTTGAACGATAACCTGGAAACAATTCATTCTTTCCCCCACGGCCCTTGTGTTGGAATGGAAGTCCTAGAAAGCCCTCTGGGACTTGAACGATCTCGGGCTCTCTCGGATGAGCCATGCTAATTCAGACCTGCTTTGCGGGTTACGGGCCGGAAGAGATCTGTCTGCCACCAAACAACTTATTCAGGCACTGAGTTCAGATCGCCCTATGTCTTCTCAAGTTCTAATATGCCTTTTGATTAGGTCGAGGTGCATGGACAGAGTGCTCTCTAACGTTGCATCAACCCCGTTTCCGTTTTGTCAAAGGGTTCCTTCCGCCTGAGTCATGGATGGTCAAACTCACACCCCCACCACATATCGCCATGAACCTAGATCGTCTCCACACCCTTCTCCACACCACACAAAAACTCTTTTCTGCTCTCTTAAGCCCATTTCCCACTCCGCCAACCATCAAGGTCCGCTGGCTCAATGGCAGAGCGTCTGACTACGATGTTTAGGTTGCTACAACCCTAACCTAAGTAATCAGGAGGTTCCAGGTTCCACCCCTGGGTGGGTCGTGATGTCCTCTTTTTGCCTTCTCCCCTCCCTTCGTCACAGTATCGAAGTGATAATCTGAACTCCAAGCCAAACCGTCGCAACAGTGCCCCTAAGGCAGTTCCGCCAAAATAAATGGCCCTTTCAACGTAGCCCCCACTAGCGACTCACCCTGCCCCTGCTCCTGGCTCTGGGCTTTCCCAGATGGCGGTGGAGGCGGCGAATTCTCACTGCCAGAAAACAGGCAAGACTCCCTCTGCTGCTGCGCCATCCTGCTGTTGGGATTTCCATTCCGCTCGCGTGGACTAGTCGAGGGGAGGCGTAGTGGCGAAGGGACGAGTTGGGAGTGTTCTATTTGGCGTTGGCGTTCTCGGGATGGTGTTCGTTGTCTTTCTGGCTGTCTCGCGGGCGTTTGTGGGTATGGTGTTGATTTAGGTGGCGGTGATGGGTGTGGTGGTTGTTGGTACCCCGTCAGGTGTAGCTGTGGTTGGGATTGCGGATTTGGCGTTGTTGGGTATGGCAGAGGTGGGTTCGTAGACGTAGACTGGGGCGGCGGGCTTGCGTGCTGTTGTGACCGTTGCTGTTGCTGTTGTTGCCACTGCATCGCAGGGGATGGCACCCTCGGCTGCAACGATTGCTCGTAGTACTTCATCGTCTGCGCGCTTACCCCTAACCTGGTATCTTTCCCCGTTGCAGGCGAGGGACTCCTCCTGTTCCGGTTCATACCGGCTTCTCGCGCTTGTTTGAGCTGCTGCCCCGAGACTTCCCAAGAAGTGCTCTCCATCCTGGTTCCGGCGCCGTACCCTGAGTCGAAGCTACTTCCGCTACTATCCATCAGACTGAGGCCCCCAAGTGAGTCCAATTTCCCGCTGCCATTACCGCTCACTGTCAGACTCCCCTGTTGAAGTTGCTGCTGCGGAAGGGGAACGCCCCCGCTAGCAATTTGCGCTTTGGCCTTGAGCCGCTCAATCAGAGCCGCATGCGAGTTTTTGAGCGTCTTTTTAACAAATGTCGTAAGGAGGATGTTGCAGCGCATGTCGACGTCCTCGCGGATGTAGAGGCCTGTGAGGGGGGCGCCGATGCCGAGCTCAATCGGCTCGGAGGGTTCGTCCGGGAGTGAGCCGTTGACGGTCCATCTATCGCGGATTGCTTGGGTTGTTAGCAATGCATGAACAGGGGATGGAGCAGCACCTACTCAGTCCAGCTGGCGCGTAGCAGTGGGTTTGGAGGCCGTTTCGGAGGTCGTTGAATGCGCAGGTATAAGTGACATCTCCGGTATATAGTCCCCCGGGAAGATATGAGATCTTGTCGGTTAGGGAGTACCAGACGCACTCCAATTCCTCTGGCGGCGCATGCGGCGGTGGTGCGATCGGGTGGCGGTCAATGACCAGGGGGTTGAGATCAATCATTTCTTGGTGGTCATGGAGGAAGTCGAGAACGACCTGCCGCGAGATGTTCGCCGGCAAGGGGCTAATTGTTGTAAACTGCGTGCGCTTGAACATATTGAATGTTGAGATGGACAGTAATAGGAAATGAAATATCCAGGAGATGGTGATGGCGTAGAAGAGATCTTAGGTAGATCTTGAGTTGATGAGAGCGAACAAAGAGATAAGGTACCCAAGAAGGGAAAACCACGGACCTGTATCCGGTGATGCCCTATGGTAACGGTGACTGCTTAGTCTCACACAAAGAAAAAAAACTCTCGTGACGACACAGTGGGCATGACTTTGCGACCCCTGTAGCGAGCAACGAGAATGAAACAGAAGGAGAAATGAAAACAACCAAAGGCAGATCCTGTGGTATTATCAACTCGGGGATTAAGGAACGAGACTAGCCAGAACCAGCCTTCTTGCCTCGCAAACCATACTGCGGTGGGCGCATTGCCTGCTAAATCAGTCCGTTATATGCAGTGTCGTTCAAGTCTGGCTGAGTGCGCTTCGCGCGGGCTGTGTAACTGGGGGCCTAAAATAGACGCTGAGAAATGTGTGGCGTCAAGGCTGTCGATTGGATGCCCGTCATCTGGGCTGTCAAACAGGCCAGCTGGGCAGGGGTGCAAGCCACGCGACCGGTTTCATCCAGACTGCTGGGACCAACCCATGGTGTTGAGAAAATGGCCGTCGAGAACACCGTTAGTCGTAGCCGCGATGTTTTGAAGTTGCGCAAACAAAGGCGCCGTTGCACCGGAGGCCCAGATCGACGCTCGAGTCTCCTTTTATCTGGTCGTCCTGGCACTCACCAGAGTAGTAGACCCAACCAATAGCCACGGCGTGTGTCCCCTCGACACAGCCCCCGCTCCCGCCAAACCCGCAGGCGGGACCGTCGGGATCCGACCGAACAAGGACCTGACATCATCAGGAACCCCCAGCATCCCCTACCCGTCATTCCCATTACCAAGATGTCGAACAGGTCAAAAAGAATCTCATTTTAAGCGGTCGCCCCTCAGATCTCCTTACACCACCGGCCCAGCACGGCGTTCAGTTTCACCGCAGCGGGAATCTCCTCCAACGCCACATCCGCCTTCCACATCTTGGCGTCCAGCCCGCTCTGTCCCGCCGCACCCCGCCCTACCGTCGCAGCGGGAATGAGCATGCCCAGTGTGACGAGCCGCTCCCACGCCATGCTGGCAATCCCGCGGCCCCACACACGCGCACCACCTCCCAGTGCCACCATGCCCGACGTCGCCGACTGCACGCGCTGCCGGCTCATGAGCGACGTGTACTCGTCGTAGGCCATGGCGAAGTTGACTGTGTCGGTGTGTGCCACAATGTCTAAACGCGCTGCGGCGATGAGCATCGACAGGTCTAGATCCGAGAGCGCCTGGAGTACGTGCAACTTGGAGTCGGGTGGCGACAGCGACACGACACCTGAGCCAGGGATCTGCAACGAGGGAGATGCCGGGGACAGCGACGAGAGCGGCAGTATGCAGCTGCTGAGGAACGCCGGAACTGACTTGGTGCTGTAAAAGTGAGACTCAAGGTGGTCTTGGAAGCTAGAGGCTTTGCGCAGGGCCTAGAATGGTGGCCTGTCAGTTCCATGTCACACAGTGTGTGATCGCGTCGTGCCTACCTCTATACTCTCGTTCCACCACTTCCAGAATTCACGATGCCCTTTCAAAGCGGCGTCGATCCCCTCCTTGGACATATCGTCGTCATCGATGCTGAGCCCTTGCCTGCAAACGTCCCAGTATGCGGGCAAGCTCTTGGGGAGCGAGAGGTAGACATATCTGTGGCTGAATCTACTCTTTACCCGCTTCTCCAAGCTCTCGACAACATCGATCCTCGTGGTGAGCCCGAGCACGGCGATCGGTGCTTTTCTGGCCTGTGCAATGTCAAATAAATTGTAGAGAAGAGTCTGCCTGGCGTGTGTTGCGAATAGATCAAACTCGTCGATCAAAAAGATCACAGACTTTGAGGTGACGCCCTCGTGAGCCTCAGCGATTTCTGAGGGGTGGGATAAGAGAGCCAAGAGCGAAGCCATGGTGTCGGCATAGTTGTTGGTTTTGTTGATGAGGTCGTCCTCGACCTCCATCTCTTTGCCGAGTTGGCGCCATATCTCCCTCAAGGCAAGTTTGTCATCCGTGTGGATGAATCCGTTCAGCCGCACGACGTGGAACTGGTCTTTATGCTGCCCAGAAAGATCTGACACGATCATCTCCACGAGCTGAGAGTAACGTTAGCCCCTCATAGATGATGAGAAGTCATACATGGGCACTTACCGTGGTCTTCCCGCACCCGCGAGCACCTATTACCATCATCGAGTTACCCTCACCAGCCACAACCGTCTGTTCCACCAGCTGGTAAGCCTTGTCATAAGCATCATCCTGGCCAACGAGCTTGATCCGCCGCCTGCCCGAGCAACGATCAAGCAACACACGTTGCGCGGCTTGGAGATGCTGCTCAAAGTTTGGAGTGTCTGGTTGCTGAGCTTCCCGAGCAACCACCGATGCAGCTTTCTTCGTGGCCGGGACAGAAGTCACCTCTTCCTGCTCGCAGCTTCCGCATATCCAGTCGCCCTTGGGAATCTTGGCTAGACCGCAGCATTTCTGGTGATACGCCGAGTCACAGTTGTCGCAAAAGACAATCTCGTTTCCCTTCTTCGAATCAGGCTTGGAGCAGACGGTGCAAACTTCGTCGTCCTGTTCCTCCTCATCTTCCTCCTCCTCCTCCTCTTCCTCCCCCTCTATTTCAGCGCTCGATTCATCCTTATCTTCAGCCTCCACCTTCGCCTCCTCAAAGGCAGCAGGTTTCCGTCCCCGTGCAGGCTTCGATGCCGATTCAGACGCCTTAGATAGGGCTTCCTCAAACGAGCCCTTGCCTTTCTTGCCGCCCGGGACACTCTTGAAAGCAACGCTCTTGCGGCGATGGTCCCCATTCTTCTCCATGGGCGTCAAAATCCCCTTTGGCTTCGGCTCCGGATCAACCCACTCTCCTTCAGAGTTCTTCCACCGTCGAGCCCTCGGTAGTAATGACCTTCCTTTCCCTTCATTTTCGGATTCCTGCTCAGTTGGATCTTCGATGGTTGGTGCGGGCTGTCTCCTTGCGGACCGAGGCTTAGTAGGCGTGTCGGCTGCAGGGAGTTCATCCTGGGTGTCCTCTGCGGCTTCTTTGCCCGCGCGGCCGCGTTTTCCTCGTGTTGATGTTGTTTCTTTTGTGGAAGCTTTTAATTTCAGCTCACTTGCAGCCTCAACGGTCTTCCTCTGCCGGGGAAGTTTCTTGGGGGTGATCGCACCCCCTAGCTCGTCGCCAGAATCTGGGACATCGTAAATATCCTCCCCGCCTTTGGCTGCCGGTTTTTGTGATCTCTTTGCTGCAGACTGCGCCTTCTTGGGCTGCGCTGGTCTGGTTGAGCGCTCACCCTCAGAGTCGGGGATCTCCCACGGGTCTCCATTTGGCTTTCGTTTGGGCTTCTCCGGTGTTGGTCGACCCCCTGAGACTATGCGACGACCCAGATTGAGAGCACCGTTGATAGCGGTTGAGATCAAACTAGGGGGGTTCGGGCTGATTTCGCCAAGTGGCGAGTCTGC